ATTGAATTTAAAAACAAACTTTAAATTGTTATTTTTTTGGGGAGGTAGGTTGGGGGGCTGGTTTGAGGGTAGGGACAAAATAAATTGATTTTTTCAACAAAAAAGTAATTGTAATTTGAAGTTGGAAGAGAGTTTTGGAAAATGTTTTCCATAAGTTTTGAAGGGAAGTCATTTTCCTTAAATTTGAGGAAAATGAGTTGATTTGGAAAACATTTTCCAAAACATTTAACCCAACCAAACATGAGAAAATTGGAAAACATTTTCCGGAAAATGTTTTTCCTTCATACCAAACACACCCTAAATCTAAACTATACCCGAGCTATTTTAATTTTGTTTTTGATTTTTCACCCGGTGTCTGGAGTGGCTTTACAGCTTTGAAATATTTTTTTTGCCTTAAGCGCCAAAATTTGAGGGGACTCATTTTTTTTAAAAACAAAATAGATTATAAGTATTAATTATTTTTAAAAAATATTGAATATTATTGTAGAAAATAAAAACTTTTCATAAAAGAGAAAAGAAGTAATATAAGTTTGACAAATTATGAATATTATGTCTCAAGAAAGATAAAATAATGGACTATAATAAACTTCATAAAAAATATATATTCGAATTTAAGGCCTCCATTTGGATTTGGCTTTAGGCCACCAATTTATTAGAGCCGCCCCTAATTGCAAGGCCCATTCGAGTTGACGCTCCCAACATGATTTTCTTCATACCCAGAGCTCAAACCTGAAACCTTTAATTAAGGATGAAGCAGTCCCACCACTGCACCGCACCACAACCTATGTTGGTAGCCAATTTCTTCTCCTATGTAAGAACCCCAATGTTTTCATATCCCTCACCTTCAATCACCCCCAATTTTTGCTCTAGATATAAAATCTCGAAGAGAATCAATTATTTTACTGAATATTCTCCTTGACCCGTCCTAATTTTAGCTCTTGAAATATAAACTTGATTTTTGAAAAGATGACTATAATTGTGTCTATTTATCCAAAAGAAAGTATTTTCCAAACTTAAGGCCTCATTTGTGTTCAATAAGATTAAGACGTCTGAATTTCAATGCACGTCTGAATGCAATTCTAGTTTTACTCCATATCTTTAATGCGCTTTGCTTGTTGAAAGGTTCCATTACAACTAATAAAAAGAAATGACGATGTATGTTTAATGTTTGGAGCTAGTGTGAAAGGTTTTTTTGTGTCTTTATAGATTTAACTAGTTCTGTGAACGTGCGTTGCACGTTTTACCCCTATTATTATATTAAATTTATACGGTCCTAACACATGTTTCTAATAGCTTTATCTTATTGTGTGACACCAAGCTTGTCCTTTGAGTCTATGTAACCTATGAAATTATGCAATAATAAATTTTATAAAATTGCTTTAGAATTTTTTTATTTATAATCAGTTGAAGGTGTTTATTTCAAAAGCATATAATTCAGAATATGAAAGGCTAAATGTGAATAATGAAAAAAAATAAGAAGATAATATTAATGAGTAATAAAGTACTATAATGTACGTTTTAGTAGATTGAAAAGAATGCAGGAGAGTTTAAAGATATTCATTTGAATAAATTACCTACAATTAAAAGCTAATATAATAAAGGTTAGTATTTTAAGATAACTTTCTAATATATAATATATTAATTGTCAGTATTGATTTGATTTTAAAAGTTAGTAAAACGTAATATTTTAATTAAGAAATAGAGAAGAATATTTTCGTAATCCAGTTTTAAATTCAAAACCTTTCACTTTTACCATAAAAAAATACTTGTAATATCAACCCAATTAACATGAAAAGCAATAAGAATATAAGATGAACTTGTCATCATATTATTCAAAATGAATTTTTTTTTAAACAAAGCAATATATTAATAACAATAGAAAAGAATGACCAATAAATAAAAAATTACATAAGAATATTAAGACGATGAAACACAAAAGTACAGTGGAATGACATTTTATGTCCAATTTATAAAAAAAGAAATTGTGTACATTAAAAGTTGTGAATATATATACATAATTTTCCTTTGTATATCTAAACACACATCAACTTCTATGTTTAAGAGAATATATATATACTAGATAGGCAGTGCCCGTGCTAAGCACGGACCCAACACTATTATTCTGAAATATTTTTTAGGCTAATTTCAAATATACACAATAATATAATTAGTTTACAATAAATATAATTATACTTTATTTACATAAAAAGTAGCAAAAAATCATAAAAGATATATACTAATTATACAATATAGCTTGTCTAAAATCATTAAAAGTATACACTAATTATATAATATAGCTTACTCAGACATGAGTTATACACTAACCACACATTATGATACACTCAAAAAACTAAAAAATAATTTAACCATACATGAAATATACATCTATTATTCAATTTTGATCAACTCAAAATCACCTCTAAACCATCTCAAATTTTAGATATGAAATTTAAAATAAATCCTTTAGAAGGAATGTGTCTCTATCTACAAGAAAATGAGCATGTATTGGAGTTTTACCAAAGACAGTGCTCTCAATTATTCACTTTCATTCACTTGACAGATAACTATCATATGTTACTCTAACTAAAAAGGCATAGGATAATGTGGTCAAAGAAGATTTGTAGCTTTGTAATAGAAAATATCTCACATATAACGTGTAAGTTCATACCTATGGCACTAATTTACACGAGGTGAATAGGCTAATCAATAATGCTCGTAGAAGTCATTCTTAAACAATGTTCATTATTACATCCTAGGAAATTTGCTTAACATTTTTATTTGAACAGTGTCTATAAGCAGAGGCGGAGCCAGAATTTGATATTTGTGGGTTCTAAATTTTAAAACAAAACAACATATTAGTCTAATATAACAATCATTAAATTACAAATATATATATATATATATATATATAACCACAACCATATTAGCATATCATTATATATATATACATATATAACCACAACCATATTAGCATATCATTAAAATTACACTCGACAAGTTGTTATGTTTTGAAAACAGAAATGATGCATCATTTGGTACACTTTCAAATACTTCATTTATTAATATGAAGATTTGATTTATTTATTTCAAAGTTCTAAAATATTATTTGATAAAAGGTAGATAAGTGTTAGGAGTATATTTTAGTATAACTTTTGAACAATTTTTTTTTATAATCTCAATATTATTTTAAGTAAAATTAAAATTATCAAATTCACCATTAATATTATTGGGACCTAAAGGGAAGGTTTTAGGTGCTTCACCCTTGAGCCATTCTTGCCTTGAAAGTTGAAGTTCCGAGAAGCAAACAATAACTTAATTAATATAATCCATTATTAATACGTGGAACAGTCATAAAATCAAAGATTAAAAATAAGATCTTTAAATAAATTGTTATACAATGTAAAGACAAATAAAAAAAAAGAGAGAAAAGGGAGAGCCGAGGAGGAACTGAGAAGAGTAAATAGTACTTACCGGGGCAGAGGTCTGCACTTTGACAACAAGCAGTAGCAATGAAGTAGGTAGTAAAAATTAGAATCCTAAATTTAAAATAAAATAAAATGGGTTTAATGTTTTATTGAATGCTTCAAAAGAAATCAATAGTGAGATGTTGTAGAATACGACACTATATTTTTGTTACTTACAATTATCTATTTTGAATTAATAGTCAGATGTTTGTTTTGAAGTATGACACTATTTTTTTATTATTTCCAATTATCAATTTTCTGTTTTTGTTTGAAGAAGAATTTAGAAAAATCTATATAGAAAAAATTGAATTAAAGGAGGGTAAAAGATAGGCACAAAGCACATTTTTAATCCAAAACAAAAAAATTGAATAGTTGCCAGTGGGGCTCGAACCCCCATCCAAAAAATCAGAGCTGCCCACGCTTACCACTATGCCACCCACCTTAGTTTGATGTGGGTTTGCACGCAATATTTAAATATATTTGTACATGATTTTTAGTACATATATAGGATCTACGTAAAAGTCAATGGATTCATCCAAACCCCCATTTAACACTGTAGCTCTGCCCCTGTCTACAGGTAATGAAACCACATTTAGCAATTGAAAAACTCTTTGAACATAAAGTGTTGGATATGTGGATCATAAATAACAACCCAATATTGCATGATTAGATCACATAGATGCTAAGATATGCATCTTTCATGAGGAAGCATTACTTGCAAAGGTGGAGTAATTTATCAGTACTACAGAAGACGTACAAAAACAGTGTTACTAAGTTTTGGAAGCACTTGCAACTCACTGTAACTTGAGAATGAAGTTTAGTCAGATGTACCAGATGCAATAGTGTGCTCACTCTCTTTTGTTGTGTAGAAATTTGCCTAATGCATAAAATAGAGAGGGAGTTTCATCTTTTCCAAATGGAAAAGAGAACGCATCATCCAAACAACTAACGTTATCTAGTCGAATGACAAACAGAACACACCATCCAAACAACTAACATTATCCAGTCTTTCTTTTGACGATAGAATAGGCATTATATGTGATTTAAGACAAAGATACTGTAGAAAATTAATTGCATGTCTGATATCACCTCCACTCACTTTGACTCTGCTCCTTTTTGCATATAGATGCAAGTGTTTTCTTGATTGAATTGACACTGACAGGGTTGAAGTTAACCTGAAAATTATGAACTCAACAAAAAAAAAAAATTAATAATTACCAAGATTTTTGCATTAATGTGAACCACCCATTCTTCATTTTTGACCCAAGACTTCTTCATTGACATAAGTAACAGAGTTGGAATTTCCAATCCTAGGTAATTCATTGTCATCACAAAAGTTAGTAAGACAAACAACTTCCATGTTATAGAAACTTAGGTATAGCGGATGTGTGAAGAGACTTATGATCTAGCTGAAATCCTTCTTCTTTTAGTTCAGGGTATAGTGAAACTAACCATGAACTGGTGAAAATTTTAAAGATAGAGATCACACACCTCAGGCTTGACTTATACAATGACCTACTCACTCTTCATTGCTACAGTTTCACTTGCAAGCAAACCTTTAAAATGGTCCAACATTTCTTTAACCTGGGTAGATCCAAAACCAAGATGTTCATCCTATGATTCCCAACCAACACATTTTCTTTCGCTTCATCAATATATATATAAGAACCTTGCATACCTTCTAGACATTTGGAGCTTCATAACAGATCCAATAATTTGTATCATTGAAAATATCTTCTTTGATCACAGACTTCACATTTTATATCTGAAATCAAACAAAGAAAATGAAAACAGTAAGCACGTAATATCATGTGATTTTTCAATGCATGGAGGAACAATCAGTGTAAAGTAATTAATCAAATGCACAACATTTTGCCTGAAATATTTCAAAGACACTAAAGCACAGTCATAAATTTGTGGGAACATAAAATAAAAATAGTTAAGAATAATTACAACTCTTACCCAAAAGAAGGTGTAACCCAAAACTATATCAACAAGTAGCAGTAAAAAATCAAGAAAGGTTGAAGACACTTTGATTTTTTGTGTATGTAATGAATTCGAATTCTCAACACCAACTATTCAAATATTATATAGTCCTTGACAATCAAATTATCACAACACCAGTAAAATTATTGAATTACAACGAAAAACACTGAAGCCACAATAAGTAAGGATATAGATAAGAAGTAGGATGAAAAGCTTGAAGAAGAAGAGAGGAACAAACGTTTCTTCAATATGCATAAGCTCTTCTTTCAAACTCATTCTCCCTTTTAACCAAATGTTAATTGAGCTTGGATCTCAAATAAAACACTCCAACATTTAACTTGGTCCAATCTCATTCACGACTTCTAATTCCCATAGGCCTTTTATAGAGCTAGTTTGGTTCATCTTAAATGTCATATGTAGAAACACTTACCAAGGATATTGTGGTTGTAAAGTAAATTTAAGATAGACAATATTCACAAAATTGAACCAAAAATTTAAAAAACGAGTGGAATGTGAAAAAAAGCGTCATCGCTTGATAATTGTAATAAAAATTTGTGACAATGGAGTTAAAATTTAGAAAAATGAGCAAGACTAAAACAGTTGAGGTTCAACACATTTCTAACCAGTAAGCCTTCGTTTCGCCACAAAAAAACAACATATGTTAAGATTAGTATCAAACACTGTAATTAGTATTTTAGCTATATCAATCATAGAATTGATTCTAGTCAAACTATTATTTTGAATCATGCGATTAATTCTAAACCCCATTCAAGAAGAGGTTTGAAAGAAAAATCAAAAGAAAAACAATGAAAATAGAGAACTTGGTGAGGGAAAGAAGGGGACTATTATAAGAGCATAGATGACGAATTAATGCACAAGTAGAGCAATATGAACAAACACCTAAATAAAAATTGCACGTCAAAATATTTAACAACCAGAGAGAATTATATTTTCATCTGACTAATACCTAAAAACGAAATCAAAATTTCCAAGGGTTATACATCAATAATCAACCTTTAACTGGTCAATTTTTATTAATAAATAAATGAAAACACAGAAAATGAAGCAGCTCCTCCCTCATGAATCAGGATGAACGTTTGCTTTTATCGGCACAAATACTCAGCAAGCAGTAACACACACAGTTTCATCTCAAACCATGAAAACACAATTATATTCCAAGTCTGATTTTCTTATTAATTCGTAAAACCACCTATATATGTCAAATTCGAACACATTGAATCCAATCTCGAGCTTGCTACTTCGTCTCAATTTTATTCCCACTAAAAAACTTATCCTTTAGTTTTAACCACAACTTATTAAAAAAATTCAATAACAATTTAAAAGTTCTCATTACAAGATTTATATCAAAGACGAAGGGAAAAAGAGATTAAAGGAGCATACCTGAAGGGATGAAATTAAGTGAGAGGGTAATTTCTAGAATCTAGTAGAACGAAGATATGTGTCAAATGACAAAATATTTAATTGTAGAATTATGTCGGTTTGTGGTGCAATAAAAGCCACTTGGAGTGACCATTCAACCTCCAATTGACACGTAATGATAAGTACAGTACTTTAATGTGCAATTAATATAGCTTTTTGTACAACTTTTATTGCGGTGGTCGTCCACAAAGATATATCATTAAAAGTGTGTACGTATATATGATATATAATTTTTCTAAAAGAATATATAAAAACCACCCACATATATATTTAAGAGACAATATTATGGGTTTTAAAGCTATTTTTAAAATATTCTTGCTTATAACAATTTAATTACGGATTATAACAGATCACATTTTATTTAAAAATCAATTAAATTTTTATTTTATTAAATAAATAGTATTTAATTATTTTATATTTATTATTAAATGATATAAATAAATAATCTACCATAATTATCTTTTACACATTTATAGGAAATTTACCTTGATCTTGTTCCTTTTTACTTTTACACGTCAAACCCACACCCCTAATGTCACCACGCCTCTTCTAGTCAGTAACACACCACCCCCACGTTCACAAAGTAAAATTTTCCGTTGTAACAATTACCCATTCCTCTTTCACCTCATCAATCATCTTCCATTCAAGCCGTTTCTACAACTCAATATCACCTCCTAAATCAGAAAATATTCAGTCTACAATCAGAAAGAAATGGCGATTTCACAATACTAAGAATCAAGTTTTCAAGAATTTCATTAAAACATGTCGAAGAAACCAAAGCATACTTCTAGAAAGAATCCCAGATTAGTAGAAGCGAATTCTACGGTTGGAATAGAGCCTTCGACGTTTAACATATTGACTCAAACGCCACCACATAACAAGAATGCAACTTCAGCGAAAAAGGTTGGTACTTCTCAAAATAAGAAGCAGATTACAGGAAAGAAGAAGAAAACTCAATTTATTTATGAAGGAGGCTTCAAAAATTTCAATATCAAAAAAGGGCAAAAAAGTGGTTAGGGTAAATATTTTATTTAATTTATTTTCCAATTATTAAATTTAGTAGAATTTTTGTTATAACAGTTTATTTATGCATATTATTTGTGGCATGAATTTTGTTTTAATGTTTGACATAAACATACATATGTATGGTTACTATCATGGAATTGATATTAATTTGGTTATTATTTTTATCAAAAAAGGTATGAAGCATGTTTAAGATTGATATAAATCTGACTTAATATTGATTTATGAATGTGGTATGCAGTATGTTTAACATTTGTATGAAACTTATTTAATTTTGGTATGAACTTGGTATATCTTTTAGCAGGAAAGTTATCATTCAAAATCTCTCATTATGTCTATGAATGTGGAATGAAACATGAATAATATTAGTATGAAAATGTCTTAATATTGGTTTAGGAATGTGGCATGCAATATGTTTTAACATTGGTACGAAACTGATTTAATTTTGGTATGAAGTTGATACACCTTTTAGCAGGGAAGTTATTATTCAAAATCTCTCATATCTGTATATGAATGTGGTATGACACATGAATAATATTGGTATGAAACTGTCTTAATATTTGTATGAAGTTTGTCATCTAACTAATATTTGTATATGAATGTGGTATGAAACAAGAATAATATTGGTATGAAATTGTCTTAATATTGTATGAAGTTTGTCATCTAACTAATATCTGTATATGAATGTGGTATGAAACATAAATAATATGATATGAAACTGTCTTAATACTTGAAGTCATGCATCTGACAAATGTGCCTCAACAAGAGTCAAGTTCAAAGTATGTATTTCTATCTTTTAGTGATTTTATCATAAAAATTAATTCACTTTATTTCTTAAAATTATTTTTCTTTCATTTTTGTTTCAGTGATTGTGGTATGTACACATGTTTATTTGTTGAATACATCTGCAATGGAGTTTTTAATATGGATTGTCACACCCCTATTTTTTCTCAAAATTATGATGCATGTTTTGAAAGAATGAGTTTTTCCAATTAAAGTGACATTTTGAAAATGGATTATTTTATTATTCAGAGTCGCCACTTGAAATTGAGTTTTGATGTTCCAAGTCACCTTATTTAAATCTCTAATCAAAAGGAAATTTGACTCTTTATTTTATTGATTTGCGAACCAAAAATCGGGTAAGGAATCCTGTTGACCGAGGGGAAGGTGTTAGGCACCCCTCGAGTCCCGTGGTTCTAGCACGGTCACTTTATTGACTATATATGACTTAAATTAATTTTTGGATATTATATTATTAGCTTAATAATAAAAATGTTATTTACCCTCATTCTCTGATTTATTTTAAACATATTTAAACCTGTCTTATTTATTTTAAATTTATTTAAAATAGTCTTATTTTTTCGGTGTGTGTCCATTAATTTGAAACTTGAAACATCCGTATTTTCTTTTTCCTTTTTTTACTTTTCTGCTTGTATTTGTATTTTTTTTTTAATGTTATTATGGCTAGAGTATATATTGGTATCTAGTTACTAGGAATTCGAATTTGTGTGGGAAAGATATTTTTAGAGTTCAAATTAATTTAGAATTGTATTTTTTTTTTTTAGATTTAAAATAGGAATTAAAATTTTATGTTTAGGATTTTTTTATTTTTTTTAGCTACACGTTTTTCTTCTTTATTTTTTTTTAACGTTCTGTTGCTCTTCTTTTACTTTTTTTTTAACGTTCTGTTGCTCTTCTTTTACTTTTTTTTAAAAAAATTTATTTTTTAATCTTTTTTTTTTTGTCTTACGTTTTGTTTCCTTTTCTTATCTTTTCTTATTTCTATTTTTTTTTTCATATGTATTTTTTGTTGACATTATGTTCCTTTATTTTATTTTTTGTTCTTCTTACTTTTTGGTTTTAAATTTTTTGTTTCTGTTACGCTCTATTTATTTTTTTTATTCTTTTCTGTTTGGGTTTGTTCTGTTTTTTTTTTTTTTTCTTATGCTTTCTCATTTTTTTATAAAATTAGTTTTCTTAATTATTCATTATTTATTTTTTCACCATAAATCTCTAAATAATATTCATATATCCTCTTAATTATATACCTTAATAATTCGAATTAAAGCATAATCATCTTTAACGCTTATTCTATAAGTAAACTATTTTTTTATCAAAATAATATATTAAAAAAAACTAAAACACATTCCACATAGATTTTCTAAATCACTAATCAATTAAACTTCAGTTTATATCCTAATCTAACAAGTCTACAAACAATTTCAACAATTTTTTCTTAAGTGAAAACTAAGCTCCAAGAAACATTAACTATTCAAAATTAAATATCACGAAACCTATTTCAATGTTAATTGCATCCAAAGAGCATAAGACAATAATAATAAAAATGTATGATACATCTTTTATTTTTATTTTTAGATTATGTTTTAGCAAGAAACGTCTTCGATTCCGTTTTCCTAAGCATTCGTAAATTCTCAAAAATAATCACAACATGCATCACAGATTGATATTACATAATAATATGCGATTAAAAAAACTTCATATTATTGGAATCGAGTTTTCATACAAGTATTCTATTTAAATCATGCGAGAATTTAGAGTTACCTCGCTGCGAAAATTGATACCACAAAAATAACTGCTACGATCTACTGATTTTCAAAGTTAATAGCTAATATTAACTTTAAAGAACCACGAATTCGAAACCTTGAGCGAAACCTCAAACGCTAACTTAATTCTCTAAATAAAAACCCACTTTTGTTATCTTTTTCTCTCTGTGTTTTTTTTCTCTCGTTTCTTCTGTGTTTCTGTGTATATTTTTCTTTTCTGAGCGTGTGTTTTTATAATAGTTTTGGGTGTGAGTCTGATGCTAATTAAAAGGAATGTGATGGAGTGGGAATATGATTTAATTTAAAATTTAGTTGAGAATTTTAGGGTTGAGATAAAGGAAGAAACAATAAAATAAATGAATAAGTAATAATAATAAAACAAACAAAAAGAAAAGTATAAAACGTGTGGGGAAAGAAGGAAGAATTTTTTAAAAAAAAAAATCGTGCAAAGAGAAAAAAAAACTTAATGGGGGAGAATTTTTAGGAAAAAATAGTTATGGAAGTTTGAAGGTAATTAGGATAAAGGGTAAGGTAATTTGAAATTTTTAGGACTCTTATTTTTGTCTTTTTATTTTTATTTTTATTTTTATCTACTTTTTCATAATATATACGATTATTATTATTTTTTAGACTAGATAAAAGTTGAAAGATTAAAATAAATACATTAAATTCACAAGCTTTCTTTATTAAACTTTAAACATAAAGTGAACTTATAATTTGTTGTAATTTTTAGATTTATTTTTTTTCATTTATTTTAAATATAACCCTACTGAAATAATAATATTTAAGTATTAACATTGATGTAAAATCTTTATGTTTTGGTCAAAAATTAGGTGTTCACATGGATTCCATTAATATCGATGCAAAGTATCATCGTCAAAGGTACGCCACAATCATATGGCAGTACGAAAAAACAAAGAACGATGATGGTGCGATTAGTGAGAGTGAAGTAACTGGAACTGTTGCTAGCAAATTTGGTGGACCCCGCATAGCAAAAAAACTTGCCCGGATACCAGCAATTGTCCTACACCAAGATCACGAAAATCTAATTTGAGATAGTTGATTGGAGCTTAGACTCTTAAGTATTAGAAGTTTTTTTAAGTTTTAGATGATATATACTTGTTTTTTCCTACTGTTTTAAGTTTTGGATGATCACTACAAAAAAAATGGATGATTACGGCAGTTTTTATAAGGGCATTGCGGCGGTTTTAACCACCGCTACGTCCATTTCTAGCGGTTTTAGAAAGCGTAGTAATTACGTCTGTCACAAATTATTGCGACGGTTTTGGCAAAACCGTTGTAATTGTAATTCGTATAGAACGGCGATTATAATTGTTTAATCGAAAAAGGGCCAAAAATACCCTTGAACTATTTGAAAAGGTCTAAAAATACCCCTCATTCATCTATTGGGCTAAAAATACCCCTCCATCCACTTTTTTGGTCCATCTCTACCCTTAAAACTAACAGCCATATTTTTTAAAAATATTATTATTATTTGTTACATGTCATTTTCCTATTGGATAAATTAAATCTCAACCCATTTAATTTTCCCCTACCTATCCATTGTAGTGAACATGACCCAAACCCAATTAGAAGACCCATTAAAAAATAAATTGATTGAATTTTTCTCCCCTTACCCCAAGCCTCTTTCTTCTTCCCTCTCTTCTTATTCAAAATATTTCTAGACTACCTTCAATCAAATGGTACAATATCCAGTGCAATCTAGATAAATGTATGATATGAAAATTTGTTGATGGTGTCTAGTTAGTATAAAGTTCTTAATTATAATTACTATTAATGTTGGTGTGATAGTGAAATTGTGTTTAGTTTGATTAATATTCTTACGTTTAAGGAGTTGGAATAATTCGTAAATTTCATTGTAACATATTCCATCGTTAATAAAGTAAATTTGAACCACTTTTATTTTCGTTTTTGGTACCAGCTTTGGTGCTGTTTATCATCAAATTTTGGTCCAGTTTTTAATCTCATTATGGTGCACTTTCATTGCCTTTTGGCCTCTGTTTCTTTACAGTTTTGATTTAGTTTGTGGTATAATATAGGTGCAGGTTTGCTTCTGTTTTGTTATAGTTTAGGTGCAATTTTGATAGATTTTGGTGCAGTTTTTTTACGTGATGGAAAGAAGACTGCAAAAATCAATACTCCTTGAATCATTCAACTTCAAGTTAGTATTGCAGTGGAAATTGTATTATTTGATTGAATATTATCTTAAAATTTTTGAATAAGAAAAGAGGGAAGAAGAAAGAGGCTTGGGGTTAGGGGAGAAAGATTCAATCAATTTATTTTTTAATGGGTCTTCTAATTGGGTTTGATCATGTTCACTACAATGGGTGGGTAGGGGAAAATTAAATGGGTTGAGATTTAATTTATCCAATAAGAAAATGGCATGTAACAAATAATAATAATAATAATTTTTTAAAAAGTGGATGTTAGTTTTAAGGGTAGAGATGGACCAAAAAGGTGGATGGAGGAGTATTTTTAGCCCAATAGATGAACGAGGGGTATTTTTAGACCTTTTCTAATACTTCAAGGGTATTTTTAGCCCTTTTCCGTTGTTTAATACAACAGTTTAGCACCGTCGTAATTTATATGTGCAAATCGAGTGGCTGTTTTAAACCGCCATAATGTGTTTAATGCATCAGCCGTTATTCCATTTTTTTATTCTCATAATTTCATTCTATTTCTACTCCAATTTAATTGCTCAAAGCTTATTTACTTGCTATACAATAAGTATTGGCACAAACATATAAGGAAAGATTATTGAAACAAATTAATCATCATATATGAAAAATATAAGCATTTCAAAATTACATGACAAAATTCTTTAAATGTTAAGGAGCAATATATTACATCCATCCGAAGAGAAATAACCATATCATATTCTAGAATTAATATTCTATGAGAACTCGCATAATCTACGTTGGTAAGATCCATATGGTGATCTTCTTAGCTAGCCACCTGCAGTAAGTGACATGAAATCAATATTTGATTTTGAGAGATCTAACAACAGAGGTGCTAAAATGTCATGAAAGACATAACTATATAAAAAGGAACAACTGAAAGTCACTTTTGATATGAATCATTTCTCCTCCCCGAAGCATTGTAGCAACAATATAAAAGCAAAGGCTAAAGCTGCTAAAAATGTGATTACTTTGTGCATACAAAAAATTATAGAGACTTAACTTTAGTGATGGACTCTTTAGTCATTATTTTGATGCTAAACAACAAAAAAGTGAGCAATTACAAACTGGAAATTATAAATACATGACTAAACATAGTGAATAAGGGATAAAGAACTTCAAAAAGCAATTATTTACCAAGTGTTCTGATTAACTTAGAGCTAATTATAATTAATCCTGTAGCGTTAAAGTTTAGCCAATAGGAATTCCACATTCTCTTGTCTAAGCCAAATCGTGTGGATAGTTATGGTATCAGCATTTCATGTTCTTATAAGATTTCTAATATAACTCTTCCAATCAATAAAAGGGCACAATAATTATTGGCCATAAGATGAAGAGTTTTGTTACCTGAAAGCCATAACCTTCTCAAATTGAGCATCATCCTGGACAAAATAATGAGAAAAGAAAAATAATCATTGAGATAACAATTGTTCAGTACATATTTGCTCATTTAGGTAGAGGAATATGTTGCTTGTGAATTTCTTACTCCTATTTTTTTCTTCACTTCTCTTACAACTCCTTTAAATATATCCTCGGACTGATTTTGACACAACGTTTTAAAGGGGGTACGAGTATGCAATTAACATGTTTCAATACTTTAGTCAAAAGTGATCAAGATGTTAGTCAGATTGCAATAGAGAAACATACCTCAAGAATAAAACTAGTTGGTATTTTCCATAAGCCTGAAAGAGGCGGCACATAATATTTCTCTTGCACGACGAGCACCTTCAGCAATAAGTCTATTAAGCTGAGACTACAAAAACATTCATCCATACATGATAAACGATTGTCAATGCAATCAACAGGTTCCACATATACCTATAAAGCCACTGAACATTACCCGAGATCCCAAATCTTGAAACATCTGTTAGCAATCCTCTCCCATATCATACTTCATCTGATACACCCAAAGGTCTTGATCTCTTTAACATGTGTTCTGAATCAGCTGTTTGATGGTCTACTGTTGAGTTATTTGTAGGAGTCCTCGTATGCTTTAGCATAGCTGCTGCAAAATAATTAGCACATAGAGGAAGTATCAGGTTATGGCTGACTAACTCTTAACAAGCGGAAAGGGGTCAGAGAGGGGAGAAATCAGTAGCTCCGATTTGTAAATACACTCTGACTCCACTATATTTGTCAATGAATCAGTATTCACACTAGCATTGATGGCCTCATAGCATCATTTCGAGGCTGTGCTACACTTAAATACCTGCTGCATTATTTGGAGTGGTAAAACCTATTGGCCATCATTAATGAACTATAAATGAAATTTAGCTTGCTTTTCTGCAGGTAGTGCCACTCTTGCCAAACAAATAGTTAAGTTTCTCCTTTTCAGTTTAGTGAAAATGGTTTTCATTAAAAAAAAATGGCCATTCTGTATGCATATCACTTTGTGATACTCCTTGAGATGCAATATAAGTGTTTGAATGTTCCCTTTTATAGAGCAATATGATCCAACATAAGAACAACGGTAAGGCCTAAATTTGCAACGGCTTTTGTGTCTGAGCTTTCGATAGTAAGATAATATTTTGTGACAGCCAAGATTACCTGAAAGGCAAGTAGGGAACAAAAGATACTGATATCTTTTATCAAAAGGTTGGATTTTTCTGCAGAAAAAAGGTAAAGAAAAGACAATAGACAAAGATGAATATCTTGTCAAAAAGAGAATTGAAATGATTCAGGTACATATCACTAGAATACTTCAAAAAAAAGATATACAGAGCTACATTTAGCAATTGTAAAATGTCCATATAAAAAAAGTACTTCTCCATGTGTTGGAATCAATGAGGATTTGTTAATATTTGACAAATTCATCATCTTTAAACTCTATCCGAGAAATTCTACAATTATCGTACTATAATTTTTTATAAAATTCGATAACTTCAATTAACCCAAGCAAAATTCAATTCCTCAAATTAGTCCATAGCTTGCATAAGCATATATAGTAATGGCCATGGAATACAAGCTCATACACCAAGCTTATGATTTAATCCATCAATTAAGCCTCAAACCTAAACTAGTAATCGCTACTGCACAATTCTTTCGCATCCCTAAAGGATTTCTAGCAAATTTCAATAACACACAGGTCTCCTCATTACAACAATGGATTCATAAATCTAAAAAAAACTAAAATAGATCTAACAACTAAGTGACGAAGCAGTACAAAACCACAAAGAAATCGAAGATCCATACTTACATAAGCAAATAAAAGAGGAAATTGAGAGACATGACTGAACCTGCGAGCTTCATAGCACCGACAATTTCGTGAAATGGCACTGACGATTTGCGCGAGATTTGGTTGACTCCTAATTTGCGCGAGAAAGGAAAAAGGCAGGACGCAGAGAATAGGGTTTCAAATATAAAGTATTAAAACTCAAAAGAAAATGGCAGTTTAAGCCGCCTGTAATATTCATCAAAACCGCCAGTTTACTAACATGTAATACAACGGATAGAAAACTGCCGTATATACGTTGTATTTGTGGCGGTTTTTATAGACCGCCGGAAATAAACCGTCGTAATATTTTACTTTTTTGTAGTGGATATATAATATTCACTGTTTTCTTCCAACTATATATAATATGCACGGTTTTTCTCAAGTTGGATACTAACAGTACACAATTTGGATATCAACATTTTTATTGGACTTTAGTTTGAAAAGAACCTCATAAACATAGTACCAAATAATTCATATTCATTAAATAGTTTTAGTTTTGGATATTAATTGGAAACCAAATGAACAACAATTTAGATATTTAGATTACATGAAATACGAGTGCTATAAAATTGGTATCCAATTCATATATGATTGTTTTTTTTTACTTCATAATCTAAGACAAAAACTAAAAATATAAAAAAATGTATGAAGTTGGTATCCAACCTGTATGAATATTCGAAGAAACGAATCTAACAATGTAAAACAAAAGAAGAAAATCTGATTTTTGAAATACAAAAAAAACAAAATCAAGGAGAGAGAAAAATTTGAATAAAAAAAATCTGGTTTTTTAAGTACTTTCAACTGATTAGAGTAAAAAAAGGAAAACAAATATTCCTATTTTGTTTTTAAATCTCCTAAATTTATGGCAATTATGAATTATCATTAATGTATTCAAATTAATTACTACAACTATTTCCATTTTTTACTTTTTATTATTTTTTAAAAATCATTTTTTATTATTATTTTATTACTTTTTTTTAATAAACTGTTATAACCTGAAATTTTTTATTGTTACAACTTGAAAGTTTTATTATACTGTCATAACTTGAAATTATTAGTCTTATATATGTTATTTATAAAATTTTCACACTCCCTCTCCATTTTACAGGAAAATAGATTACTGGTTAGATTCAAAAATCCAAGTTTATTTAGGTCCATTTCTGTGAACAATATATTGGAAAACAACTGCACTTATTATTTAATTTTTTAATATTTAGTAAGTGAGAATTTTTTTTATCCAAGAGTATTTATATATAATCTAAAAAAATAGTATGAGTTGAAATGTGATGGCAGAGCTGGGGTTCACGAGGCGGTGGGATGGGTGGTCAAAAGAGGGGTTAGGGTGTTTGGGTTGGGGGTGTGGAGACAATGAACTTGAGGTTTCACTTAAGGAACTTGTTTTTTCCTACTTGATTAGGATTAGCAAGGTCTAACCCCCTTCCTTGTACTTATCCCTAATGATTTATTTTTTATGTTTAATAAAAGGTCACTAGACACTATCTAGTGGTAAATTTGCTATAAGAAAAAACTTTTTTTTTCACTTTTTTGTTTGATATATATATATATATATATATTGTGTTCTTCCTCCCTTCAAGATAAGAGTTGAGTTTCTAAGATTTTATTCATAAAGGAAAAAATATATAGTGTGTTTACAATAATAAATTTTATATTCAACAAATATATAAATATTATAAAAGTGAAACTGTAAATAACTAAACAATAAAGTAGAATACTGCTATATGAGCTTAAGGGAAGTTAGTAATTGAACATGTTTTTGAAATCTCATATAAGTATCTTTGTGATATACTGCTTCTTTATTTTCTTTGCACTATTATCATTGAGTTCCTTTTGAAACTTAAGAAATAAAATGTAAGTTAAGGCAAAATGGTATATAGTAATTTTATGCAAGTTTTTTGGGAGAAAATAAAGAAACCTCAATTCTTCTTTTTAATTGTATCGCAAGAAAAATATTATGCACATTTTGTGTTTATATATTATTATTTAATTTTAATATTTTTTTTTTGTAATTCTTCTTTATCTATTTGGTCTAAACGGATGTATGCATTTCATCAATTTAAAATAAATAAAAGGAAAGTACTAATAATTTGCTCAAAATTATTTTAACTAAATGTTACATCATGTTACATAGAAAACTTTTCGTTTTCTATATTGCTTTACATTCTTATTGAATTACTACATATTAGAAGAGGCTACAAGCAGGTAACACTTCGTCAATATGCTTGCTTGTATATCAGGGGTAATATGATAATTTTAATGTTTTTGTTTTGTTAGTTTATATAGATAAAAAATTATGTAAAAAGTATTATAAATCGCAATAATAATATCTTAAAATATTTATAAACATATAAAAAAATTTGTTAACTTTCAAAATTCCATCTATACCACATAAATTGGGCTAAAGAGAGAAATATCTATTATGTAAAATACAGTAAATATACAAGAAATCACAAAAATTACAAGTTAAATATCAAAAAGAACTTGGTTACCAAAAAAAAAAGAACTTGTAAAAATACATAAAAAAAAAAAAAACTATAAATCATAACAATTAGCAACTTAAAATATCATATATATATATATATATATATATATATATATATAATTTGGTTGACTCTCAAATTCACCTGTATCACTTAAATTGAGACAAAAAGAGTAACATATATCACGTAAAAATTACGTAAAACGTACTATAAATGGTAATAATTATGTTGCAATTAAAAAATTAATTGACTTCAGATTCCATATATATCACATAAATTGAAACAGAAAAATTAACATATATTGGGCCCCGTGCTTGCACGGACCTTGTATCTAGTGTCATATATATAAGTCATAAATATAAAAGGGGAACTTTCGCAAATAGCCACAATAATAAACTTAATTATGCTCCATAACTATAGTTTGCATATTTACAGGTTGTAGCTACAGTTTAAACTGCCTCGTTTGTATAATTCACGGATTTGCATAATTTGCAGGTTTGTATAATTCGCGGGTACATTTGTATAATTCAGTTATTTTTGTATAAACTCGAAATAACAAATTTATACAATTACAAACATCAGAAGTGTAAACAATTATACAAATTATATTATACAAATTCTGAATTATACAAAAGTTATACAAATTATATTATACAAATTCCGAACTATACAATCGTGGGAATTATACAAAACTAAAAAGCTGAGCCGCGTAGTTATAGCTAAAAGTAGGTCACAAAGTGTAATTAAGATAAACTATATCTATGTTAACTAAGTAACTAGTATATGTTTGCTTATATGTGTAATTTTCCCAATAAAATTACTTCAAAATAATTAAAAGGCTTTAATTTTATGAAAAGAAGTTAATACATAGTGTGTGTTTGGTATGAAGGAAAACATTTTCCGGAAAATGTTTTCC